ACAATATCAAGACTCCTGTTCTGCATGGAGATTAAATGCAAATTCTCATTTCCCATTTAAGCTTGACCCTTGCCATCTTGTAACGGACTATTTTAATTAAAATTCCTCCTGGCTCTACTCAGTGTAGCTTTCGACACCGTAGGTCACTGTATGGTCTGTGTCTGTTTCCAGCAGTCACGCAGACATTCGCAGTTGGCCCATCATGATTGTACCCCTTTCTACCAAACCTTCACCAAGTCTCCAGTGCCACTATGGAAAGCTATGCTGTACCACCAAGCTTCGGGTCTCAGATTTCCTCCCACATGTGTCTCCCTGCTATTGTTCAGGTAAGGGTGTAAAATTGATGAAAGACCAACCATTATGTCCACACATAAGTGAAATCCTGCAGAAGACCAAATCGTGGTCTGCAGGAGTTCCTGCAGATCAGCTCACAATCTTCATCTTGAACCATTAGCACATCAAAGCTGATGATACGTGACTGACCACATATTTTAGACTCCTTAGAAAGAATTCTTCTGAAAACTCCTCTCCTTGACCAGATTACATATACATGAGTCTTCACGTCATTTTTATGCAGTGAAACATCTTAAAGATTGAAGTGCTTTAAGAGAATCATCTTAAAGCAGAGCTGTTTCTTCTGTGGCACCCTCTTCAAACATATTCCTCCTTTTTGCCTCGATGGTCTGAGTGAGCTCTTCTTAAATCTCCGTCTGTGCTCCCAGCCCAGGCGTGCTGAAGAGTCTAAGACTCCATAATGCTGACATTGCACACATTCGGTGTTAACCCTGCTCAGAAGATACGTAGGTGTGTTTGAAATACATGACGTAAGCCATGTTTGTTGGATATATATTGGTGTTCCTATATGTGGGAATGCACACAACCGCTGAAAATCTGTCATATGACTGCTTGGAATATTGCTTAAAACAGCATCTTAACACAAATGTCACAAACAACTAGCAACCCTTGAAAGCTCTTGCAAATATACAGATAACGGAGAACTCTGGTGACCGAAGACTTAAACTTCTCACTTTGGGAGTTTTACCAACTTGTTTCTAATATTAAAACTGATATACAAACTCCTTTTCTCTGACAGAGAGAACACTGATAATCTTTGCAAGTTAGTTTTAAAAGGAGGCCTGAAATGCGGGAAAGTAGCTGTTCTTCTCAGCAGAGGACAGTGGAAAGTAGAGACCAGGATGTGATACAAAAGGAGATGCAAAACATTATCGTTGGCCAAGCCCATGAGCTCGTATTCTACCTCCAAAACTTACTCGGTTTGTGGCATAAGCAAATCACTTTAATTTCCTGCATTTTGATGTAATATAATACCAATTCTATCTGTAGATAAAATGAGCCCTGGTTCTTCTGGCAAAGATCTGCAAGCCTATACTTTGCCTCAGTGAACAACTCGGATCACAACTCAATTCCATTCCCTTCCCAAAACTCCCTTCTCCTCACCTACCATCTCTCCCCATGACATGTAGGAGACTCTGGTCCTCAGTATTGTCTCGAGAGCATGCCAGTGCTTCTCAGCAGGCAGCTTTGAGATGGTAAAATCCAGGAGAAAACCAAGAAGAAACCCCCTGTGGAAACAGGAGGACCAGAGAACACACCAGCCCTGCCAGGTCCCACCAAAGCTCTTCTCACCCAGCTTCTTGTCTCTTAGAGCAGTCTCTTATCCCAGGAGAAGCGGCTCAGCTGAAGGTGACAGTAGCATACCTACTCCTCAAACATCTCCACAAAAAGGCACCACTGGACAAGAACGCTGCCTATCAAAAACCATCAAGATGTATTTTATCCCATTTTGGATGCTTTGAAGTTCACTTTCGGATAGCAGCCGCGCAAGGTAGGATTAGAGTCATATTGGAGAATAACAAGAAATACTAGGCAATCTGATTTATCCTCCTGCGCAGGGCACGGTGCCGGGAGGGCGACTGAATCGGTTACAGAATGCAAAGAGCACTCAGACTCAGCCCAGTCAGCCTGGAGTGTATTTTATGACTGAGTTATAAACCCCTGAAAAACAGCTTTTATAAGGAAAATGCTGACACAGTCTTCGATGTAGTGACAGCAATGTCATTGGTTTAAATTGAACTTGCTTTGTCATCCCAAGAGCACTTAAATAAATCATCGAAAAACCTCATGAAGACACACAAACTGCTTGTGATGAAACACTTTTAAACAGTTTTACAGACTATATATTAAATTTAATTCACTTCAAAAAATCCTGAAGAAAAAAATGCAAACTCAAAAAACCAAAAGAGTAATAATAATAAAAAAGCTAGCAGCATTTCTTTTTTTTTTTTTCTTTTCCCTCTTTTTCTTTTGGCAAAGGGAAGACTGAACACCCTCAGACGCTTCTTACTTCAGAAGGAACAAGAACGCTCACCATCTCTCAAAACTCTGGTGGTACCCACATCTAATACTATTCACACTACTAGCAAGTTTTTGGGGGCAGTCTTCTTAACCTTCAAAAGTAACGGTTCAGTTTCTCCTTACACATAGCTTTGCGGCAAAGAAATTCAAAGACATTTTAAAGGCTCAGAAGAATATTAAAGAAAATGAAAAGATTTACTTAGCTGCTATTTCATACGTCAGGACAGCCCTTGCTAACTCGGTCCCAACACGCCATTTCGTTTAAATTAACATGCTGTAACTGTGCTAGCTTGAAGTTGTAGGGATTGAGTACTACACTACTAAGTGGAGATGATTTAAAAATCCTACAGCAAACGCTAACTTCTCTTTTTAACAGTTCCATCAACAAGAGCCTGGGTGTCTCCACTACCAATCCCCATGTCAATACAGTGTTACTTTAATGACAGTGACCTTGTGTGGCTCTTTGAGCATCTTCTTCACCTTTTTTGAGACATTTTTCTAAGCCGCTGTCCTTGCTTTTATCATTTAACACATCACTCAAACCACTTCAATAAAACAGCGATCATGTTGAAGAGAGGTCTCGGAGGACCAGATGACATACCAATTAACAAAGCGCACAGAACCAAATTGTTTTTTTTGTACATCTGGTTCAGAAGACATTCATGGAAAGTGCGAAAGAAAAAACAAGTCGAGAAGGTTTAAAAGGGGAGAGCAAATGCAAATTAAAGGAGTTTTCCTAATGTTGGCTAATATAATGTGAAATTCATCCTTCAAATCAAATTCACAACCAGCCAGGTTACCTACTAATAATCCTAAACTATATTCCAAATACCTTGGTCTACGCGGTAAATCATCATATTGCTGCTGCACATCGGAATACATCTTTTATTCAGCAAAGGAACCAGAAAACGCTTGCTCTGCAGGACTTCTGCATTTATACCACTCCGTTCCACCGTGGATCAGGAAGAATACCAGAGTCAAGTCTTAATGTAATACAATCTCGTTTTAGCCCTTTGTTGGCTAGATGCATTTACAGAGTGCGTGAGGATGTTCTGTACCTCTCCCAAAATTGTGAGGGCTCTCCAGCATCACAAACCATTAAAATCTGCAGTAAAACAAATTAAGAGAACTGCATCCCCTGTGACACGTTAAAGTATGTCATGATTGTAATTCAGGGTTAGCCTCAGTCAGACTCCGGAAAAGATTTACAAGATCTGAAATGATTCAGCATTAAGTATTTTCATTTTGGTTAAAACTGATCTGGCAAGAATTTGTTGTTTGAAAACAGAACGCTCGTCTTGGTTCACGTTCAGGCTACAAAATGTGAAATTTGCCTAGATGCAGAGGGCCAGCACCAAGACTACTTAGCTTCTATCTAATCTGCTGCTAAAAACATCAGCTGTACTTCACCAAAAGGTATATTCAGATTCAGCTTAATGATACTATATTATACCAGAAGAGAAGGGAAGGGCACCTATATTTTTCGCTTAATCGTATCACGCCTTTGTCAGGCTGTGCAAGAAAGATGATGCAAGTCATCGACCGTTCGAATGAACTGTTGTTAAAGGAAGAAACAACTGCTCCAAGCAGGGGGAAGTCCTTTCACGGGACTGTCCTTGAGTTGAAAAACTCTCCTGAGAGCTTATTGCTCGAGCTGTCAAGGCTGCAAGGATTTCCAGCAGTAGCTGGGTTGTCTGTGGCCAGCCAAGGCCAGCGTGAAAAAGGCTACGTGAACATACCCGTACCATACGTGGTCACCACCAGACCAGAGCTACCTGCCCTTTCTCCCAGACCAGACCAAGCCAGATCTGATTTTAGTGGTCAAGACGCTATCATAACACAGGTATTTCTACTCAACTTATACACTCTAGGTTATCTTCCCTATAAACAATCATCCATTTTTATAAAATCATTGAAATTTATGTTTCTTAAAACATCTGATGAACCCTAAGCTGAAAAAACCCAACCTTTCTCCTGAATCAAACCCGACCCTGTTCTGACTAAGCCTGCAGAAGGCATGGGTTCTCCTGAATGACTGCATTTACGACCACATTCTCTTTGAACCGCTTCATCTTGATAAGACTTTCTCCTGCTTGAAACTATGTTTGTGAGAAATCTTTCTAAAAGCCCTTGTGAACACTTCAATTCAAACACTTTATTCAATCACACAGGGAGAGACTCGTACCATCGTGCAAATATTTCTGCAAAGCTTTTGCAAGGCCATTAACCAGCTCAAACCCTGAATCTGCATAACGCTATTTTAACCCTAATAAATCCCACTCTGTCCTGGCCTGCGAAGATGCAACACAGAAATACCGCTATCTTCAGTCCCAGAGGTGTTGAAAGGACGCAGAGGCATCCATGTACCAGGCCCTACTCCTTACTCTCAAATGGAGTTTTAATAGAGGTTTAAGACTGTTACATGGTTTGTACAGAGGCTCTTTATATCTAACGGAATTGAAGGCAGTAAGAACAAACCCATTCTAAATACAGCCAAGAAATTCAGCAATAGTTAAAAGCATGCACATATAAAAGAGTATGCAGAAGCCACGTTAAAATATTTTGACGTTAGATTTCATTTGATTCTTGCAATGTGCACATGAAAATGAGAGATGTTTGCATACCTCCATGAAGGAAATCCCTAGACTCCAAACGTCCGAATGAATTCCATACTGTTCTCCTGAAATCCGCTCAGGCTGCAAAGAGACGGAAAGAAATACCTTCTTGAGCCCAGCAGACAAACATACGTACTTATTCCGCAAAAGCTAGCCCAGGGCAAACAAATCAACTGAGAAAATGCAAAGAAGCTTAAAGCTCACCAGCTAACCTGGCAGAGAGTAAATCCACTCTTCAAACGTGACTTATTTATTTTTGCCTCTTCTGCAAGAGGAAAGGCCTCATTTATGCTCAGACTTTTCACCATGCATTGCTATGCACCTTGCAAAGTTGGCCTTGGCACTTGTGTCTGGGCTGTTTTATCCAACAAAAAAGCCAATGGCTTGCACATGTGCAGCAAAGCGCAAGGTCAAGTTGTGCGAGTCCAATGGTTTATACATCTATTGCACGCTAGGAAAACAGACTCCTGATGTTGAGTCAAGGGGTTGGGGAGTAACTATGGTTTAAAAAGCAAAGTTATTGAAGCCAAAAGAATCAATGAAGTCACATGCCAGCAATTTTATTTTATATACTCTTTAATTTAATTTTTGACCTATAGAAAAAAAAAAAGACTTCACTCAAAACTATTAATAGCAAGTTTAATGCCTCATGAAATAGAATGCTGTAAAATATAACTGCTAGTTTTTACTTGAAAGCTACAATTTAAGCATTTCCAAGGTCAAGTACAGCATGAAATGTAACAATAAAAGGCTCCATGAGACTTCTCTCCCCACTGTGCTGTTAATGCACCTGTCTAGCCCAGCCACCTACGAAGCACTGGCTGTATTTTTAGTCTTTAATAATCCAGAGACCTTTTTTAGAAAACAAACTCCCAAATTAGTGCCAGTCCAATGTGTTTTCGGATGTTTACTCTGCACTGCTAATCCCAGGTCAAGAGCTTTTATCGCAGCATGAATGTTAAGTAAAAAAACACATTATCTTTAAGGATAGCCTTCCACAACTGCCATAACCTAAAAAAACCCACCCCAGAATGTAACTGGAACAAAATCTTTTTGACTGACCCTCACTTATTTTGAGCTGAACAGTGACCTAAAAATCTTATTTATTTTTTTTTTAATTCATTAAGGCAAGCCTTTATTAAGTATAGCTAGCCTAGGTCAGCATATCTTAAGAGATGTTTGCAACAGCATCATATAAGGATACGATTTTTAAGCATCCTTCTATACTGGCAAAGATCCTCGCACAGATGCAGATACGCAGCCAAAAACGTACGCCGACAGGTACGTCTGCCTTTATAACATAACGCGGTATCGGCTACCCCGGCCAAGGATGCTTTGTTACCGCAGACACCGCACCTGTGGCAAGACGATCGCGCGCGCAGACCTCCTTCGTGCAGATGAGACCCTGGCCTTTCCTGAGCCGCCAAATCAGATGCAGAATTCACACTGAGCAATATTAAATTGTTTAGTCTTCCGTTGTAACAGCTCAAGTTTTAAACAGCAACTTATATTTAGAAATTAGGTATTCACGGAAGACAGTGGCAAGTAAATCATTTGCAGATTTAAACAAAAAGTCTAGTCACGTGAATGTAACAGTATGGAGAAGAAGATGAAAAGAAGAATAACACGTGCACGAAGTAAAGTGTGCAACACAGAGATCATCCCAAGGATACACAGCTCAAAAATACTTTCTCTTAAAAATTTCTACAACTGGTTACTTTTTTCGTCCAAATTTTTTTGCTGGATAAAGTGGTGATAAGATGATTTTACAGAAAATGTATTTTTGTTGGAAATTTTAATTTCTCAATCAAAAAGCTGTTTTGCTTGTTTATTTTAAACAGAAACCTCAATTTTTTTAACAGTTTCAAATTCACAGTCTGCCAAGCAGGCAGACAAACCAAAGCTTATTATTTTTTGATGACTAGACTATACGTTTGATGACGACAAATGACTCATTCAGCAAGCAAAACAATTTTAAACACAAGAAATCAGATCAAGTACAGTTTAGCTTAAGCTTCTCTTTTTCAATTAATAGATGAATGCATCACATTCATCCATAAACAATCAGAAAAAAGTAATTTAACGTACACCCGGGAAAGAGAACAGTAATCTTGATTTCTGCACTAAAAGCCCAATACAATTTAATTCTCAGACCTGCTTAAGACCACTCTAAGAGTAACAGCTGAGTTGGAAAAGTTGATTAATTTGAAGCTGTTTATTTGTCTGAATCGCTATATTCCAGTTCTTTTAGAAAATGGAGGCATAGAAATCAGCAAGCTTACTAGCAAAAGTGGTAATATAGAAGACTGGATTTTTTTTTTTTCTCTCTTTCCTTTTTTTTAGAACATTCTTTCATAATATTCTGATGACACAGGATAGTCCAAGTCTTTCCAGGATGGTGACATGAGCGTTTCAGAAGCTACATAATGAGTACACCTTGACTAGAAAAGCACTTAGCAAACAAATGGACCCCCTGGTCTGCTTTCTTCTTACAAGAAAGTACGAAAAAATACCGGAAAGCGATTAAAGGTCATGGATTTCCCTCTCCTCTTTTCTGAGGTTTGAAAAATACAACTAATCGACCACTTTTGTATTGCTTGCACTTTTTTTTTTTTTAAACAAGCCGAACACTAATTTTTTTCCTCGTTAATATTACGACATATGTAGTTTGCTAAAAGAATTTTAATGGCCAAAAATAAAAGATGACAGTTAATACACTGCTCTAAACTGAAGCATTTAAGTTTTCACATCTGTTAAACAGAGAACTAAAATTAATTAAACTGATCTCATGAAAATACATGCTAACTTTTGTAGTTTACTTTCAGACTGGCTCTCGTCACCGTATTAATCTCAACGACACGAACACCACGGGCCAGCTGTCAGGTCAGCTGGAACTGCTAAACCCAAGCCTCACATCCCAGCTAACAGCAGCAGCGTTCCTCCAAATGATATATCTTCAACAATATTTTATTTTGATCTAAACGTGATGGGAATTTATGCTTTCACGTACAGAAAAAGGACAAAAGCAGCCTCATCATAACGAGCATTCTGACCGAAATTTATGTACAAAAGTGAAATGTACTGATGACTTGATATGTATGGTGTGAACATTACACAACATGCAACTTAATGCCCTAATATTACTAGTCCAAATATTTTTAGCTTCAAATTTCCATGGCAGCTTCACATGGGAAACACCCACACAGGTGCTTAGGTATCAAGAAGCCCATGAGAGGTCTGCACGTGTCTAAATGCTTTGCTAAACTGCAGGCCCAGAGCAGCGGTTCCCAAACCGTGGACAGCATCCGACTGTCGACGGTCCGCAAGGAGCTGCAGGCTGTCGGTGGAAAGCTGCTTTTTTACGTTGAACTGGCTCTATTCTTTGTTCCCAGCTGTTACAATGCATTAAAGACAACTAAAAATACATGAAAGAAACGCTTTTCCAGCATTACTCTTCCGTATCAGCAAGAAGTGCAGTTGTCACAGAGCTGGTAGGCGAGCAGATAGGAAGGGAGCGGGTCTGCGAGACAGTAAAAGGGAGTTGCTTCGTGGCACACACAATTAGGACACAGCTTATGCTGGGGATGGGGAGAGATGAAGTTTGAGAATTGATTTAGAGTACATCCTGCATTACACAGAACAAGGCTGTGAACAAATACTTCTATTTAAATGTTATTCCTGCATAAATCCACTTACCGCCATATAAGCATTTGTTCCAACATACGTCTTGGCTATAGAATTCACCAGCTATCAGACAAAACAGTCTGTTAGAACAATATAAAGATAATGTGGAAATAAAATGGGCAATTATTCCTCATTTAACCTACAATCATCATTCCTATAAATCAACTAAAAATTATGTAAAAGGGAACAAATTTATCTGCAAAGGCATTAAAAATGATTAAATCTCTCTTTTGTTCGGAACGAGGGTTCCAATTTAAACAAGCACTGCATTACAGTTTATGGCAGATAACCTTAAACAATTCTGTTAAACAGGATGCTTATCGCTTTAGTACCCCAAACCAGTCTGATATAAAAAGTCAATTTGAAGTAGGATTGAACGTGCTCATTTTTCAGTCAGCTGGCTCAAGATGTGAATAAAGCCACATTCATCACTTGAATGCTACGAGCACTAAATACGCTGGAGGGACAACAGACTCTGACAACTTATAATACAAGGCTGACCTTCTCTTTGGTCCTCATGTTTGGCTGAGAGTAAAGGTGCTGAAATTCAAATCAACATCACAGCAAGCTCACGGGTCACTATCAGAGAAGTTCTCCAGGGAGGCCCAAAATGGAAATTAATTAAAATTTGTGCTGCACATTGTAAAAGCCCACCACTATTGTTACTCCCAATATTAATTTTTATTGTGGGCCAGTTGGGCTCCCCAGACACATCTCTCGTTCTGCCCTCCCTTTTGTCTGGCCAAAACGCTTTCATATCAAAGCTGCATATCAATGAAGTTTGCTATTCGTAAGTAGTAATTACAATATCAGCAGTTTTTACTGTCATTAAACAATGAACAATCATATTCAGATGAAGAAAAGTCGCCCGGAGATTAAAAATGAATAGGGCTGTCCCAGCAGAGGGGAGCTGGCTGTGGGGCTGTCTGTCTGGCAGCCAGGTGACTTTGACATTGGAAAGAGAGGGGACAGATATCCGAAGGGGGAATTACCTGAGTGCTAACCCCAAAGTCGCAGAGCTTCACCTGGCCTCGCGTGTTCACCAACATGTTGGACGGCTTCACATCTGTTGAGGGAACAAAACTGCATTTAATCTATATTATCCTAGCTACGCATCGGATATAGAGATCGTTACGAGTATTGGCATAATGGATTTTAATAGGAAATATTTCAAAGATGTATTTCAAATGCAACCTCTGGTTTGTAACAGTCACTAGCACTGACGACATTATATCTGTACCTCTCAAATACTGATAATCTATGTTATTAAATCATAGAATCATTTAGGTTGGAAAAGACCCTTAAGGTCATCGAGCCCAAAGCTGCAGGTGACACCAATCTGGGAGGGACCGCAAGTGCGCCGAAGGATGAGACCTAGAATTCAAAGTGATCGTGACAAATTGGAAAAATCAGACTGAAAAAATAAGATGACATTCAACAGGGACAAGTGGAAGCGCTACACTTAGACAGGGATTAATCAACTGCATAAATATAGGATTAAACAACTGCCTGAAGCGTAGGCTGGAGCAGGTCTGCAAAAAAGGACCTGCAGATTATGGCATGAAGTAGAAAAGACAGAGAGGGAACAAACTCCGTCACTGGACAATTTAGGCACAAGCCAAAAGCAGCGGCGCAAACGGTGAAGGCTGTTTCAGTGCCAAGGGACAGCCGAGCTGACCTCTTCAGGTTCATCCCAGCCCTGCGACTTTGTATTCTAGCACCGCAATTAACCCTGCCTCCCTCTTCTCTAACAGCCCTCCCTTAATTCCACGTAGTGACAAGAGCAGAATTTAGCATTCTATAAAAATTACAAATACAAAGTATCCCATACAAACACCCGCATCGGGGAACGCAGGGAAAGCACAAACACACAAGCACACCCGAGCCTCCTCCTGCCCCAGGAACGCAGACAGCGCAGCTTTGCTCTTGCGCACACCGTTATTCAAAGCTGCCGGCTTCCACCTCCGTGGCTTCTGCTGCGTGAAACGGCTCCGATTTCACAGCTTCTACGCTTTTAGAGGTTAACTGCCAGCGACGCCTTAAAATGATTACTAATCCTGCTCCAGCCAACAAAACATCAATGTACTTCGTAAAGCCAGATTGTCAGCGTAAAGATCTTAATGCTGACCCCCTCGGATGCCGAAAGAAGTTGGTACGCTTCTGTTGCGTACTGTAAAACCGATGTGTGAATAAACTGCTGAACATCCAGCCTGACTGTAGCGCAGGAGACATTGAGCATCTTTCTGTCCCAGGGATGCCAGTCGGAAAGCATCATGTGCGCGTTACGGCCTGGCTTAAACTTGGGAAGATTAGAGCACAGTGGCTTTGCCTAATCGCTGCTTTCTTCTGTCAAAACGGATTAAAAGCAATAGCTTGTATCTCTGCCTTCTTTAAAAGTGAACACTAGTTGGGTGCAGATGGATGAAACCCAACTAGAAAAGAACCTAATTTTGTTTATCATTAAGTTTGCCTTTGTTTAGCAGATGTTTCCTGGTACCACAGTAGCTTGCTTAATTTGTCTCTGTAACACAGAAATGTATAACCTCAATTAACAAGCTGATTAAATGCTTTCCTATATTTGAGCTAAAATCCAGTTTCAGAAAAGGGGAGCATTCAATAGTACGTTATATAGCTTAAGTGGATCTGTATGTTTTAAGTTAGGTATTAATACTGCTAGTACGTTTTGCAATTTCCCCCCAAAGCCAAAAGAAACAGCAGCCACAAGTCTCTTCATCTTGTTACAGCGCTGCCAGCCTCAGGTCGCGTACCCCGATCTCCATTTCAGCTTCAGGAAACCAATCCACCTGCTGCATTTTTGATGGATTTTGACCTCTTCCCCCGCCTCAGGCGATGAGACAAACCCCCACTACAGAGCAATCCACACAGTCACAAAATCTCCCATACGCTTCCTAACAACATTTTAGGAATGTGTTTTCTAACTAAATCTTCAGGAAGACTCAAATATTTGCTTGCGGCAACCCGCTGAGCAGCGCGCTCCTCTGCCGCGTTGAGTGACTTTGCTAAATCCGACAAGACGTGCCGAGTACCTCAGCAGGCTCTATCCCGAATCCCGAGAAGAACAGTGAGTTGCACAGTAATCCTGTTTAACCTTCTTTCTAAAAATATGGCAGCCCACAGGGCTACCTCGCTCCTAGGCTGGCGCCGAACTGTAATGAACAGCAGATGCAACGACACGCACAGAAAATACCGACGTTCTGCACCACAAACCCAGCTGTTTACAGTACTCACACCTTTAAAAGAAAACTGCAGTATAACAAGAGGCCCTTGCTTTGAATTGTAAAGGATGTCATAAAAATAATTAATAACCAAATGGACAAGAGAAACATTTTGGTGCGGTACGGATGGAAATAGGCTTGTGGGAGCAAGACCGGATCAACTGCATTATTTTTTTAACAATACAAAAATCCTTTCACTCTGGGTAGACTGAGGAGCCTGGAAGGCAGAAGGAAGCTCTAAGCGTGAAACACCACAGCCTCGCGGAAAGCGACGATGAGGCAACACGCACGTAGCCAAACTTTCTTTCCACGAGGACTCAGCCACGCCATGAGTTCAGAGGAAGAGGCACGATGTTCTCCAAGCGCTGCCCACAAGTCCTCGTTCCCTTAACGCGGCCCACCAGAGGAAACCACCACGCCACGTTTATCCCGTCCCACCACGAAGAGCCAAGGCTCAAGCCATCACCTCGTGCCACTGGGGACCTGCAGACCCCATCTCCCCTTCCCTGCTACCATGTGGGATGTGACAGTAAGTCCATATAATTAAAAAAAAAAAAAAAAATAAAATCTGTCATTCATTAAGCATTGCTTGATCCTGAAATCCTTCCACAAACAGATGTAAAAAAAAAAGAGATTCCAAAGGAAAAAAAGCAATCAGCCCCTTAAGGAAGGGAAGCTATGCAAGCTGGGGACTCTACCGAGCAAGCTGCAGCCAGCCAAGCACTGCTAAGGACAAACACTGTCTGTCCTTGCGGCGGAATTTAAACAGCCCCGCAAGTGGGGGATTTAAGCAAATACCTGCTCTGAATTCCAGCGGTTGCATTGATTTCCTCAAGAAAAAAGGAAGTGACAATCCCAGACAAAAATGTCACTTCACAAAACATCTCACATTGGAAGTGGGGAGAAAAATCACCCAATCAGTAAATTAGCCTTTTTGTTTCATAAACTGCTCCAGTTAATGGGTTAAACATTTTTTGGTTTTGGAAAACAAATGTGCATAAATAATGTTCTGCACCATCTGCTTGTGATTAATATTACTGTTTAGAAGTGAAAGAATTTAAACAAGAGCCAAGAGGGGTCATTATGCTCCCATTACCAGTGCTTGCTTAATACAAATGATTTCTACGAAGCATCATTACAGAGGATGAACAAGTCCTCTTTATGATCTATCTGCCTAAGTCGTTTCACCTCTCTGCAAATAAATGGGACCTCCAAGCTCTTACTTACCAGTAAACAGAACTGTCAGAGGTTCAGCTTTTTGAACACCAAACATTTCAGTCACCTTGTTTAACTGAAAAGCAAACAGATTAATGATTGTGGGGAAAAAAGCCCCGGATTTTTAAAAGCTGTCTCTTGACTTTTTCTGTCTTTTAAAAATACAAAACCACAACACGCCAGGTTCAAGGGAGACGAGAGAGACAAAAGCACAGTTTCAGCTGCAGACAGCTCACAGAACATCACTGTTAACAAAGTGGAGCTGCTGGAAGAATGAAAAGATTTTCTTGCCATATTGACCTCATCAGCATGCTTTTTGCAGAGGCCACGACTATTTTTTTTAAATAAGTAGTGCATGAGTATGCATGTATGTGTTTAGCTATACATATATGAACACAAGTATGTGTGTGTGTGTATATATATATGTATACACACACCCACACCCCACACCCCCCCCCCCCCCCAACTTTTTTCTACTTTTGTTTGTGCTTCTACGTGGCACTAATGCTCATTAATTCTCACAAACCTAAAAAAGCAGGGGGGGAAAAGTCAAATATGCTGCTCTGGTCATCTTTGGTGAAATCCTCAGCGAACTACAGCTCCTGCTGAGAAGACGGGAACACCCCCCCGTCCGTCCGTCCGTCCGTATTGCACAAGTGCCTGTCCCTGCCAAGCAGCACCCCTCTGCTCCAGTGAGCTCAACCTCGCACATCACAGACCAGAAAACACTTCCAAAAACTCTGACACAAAGTCCAAACCTAGTCAGAAACCAAGGTCCCCAAACCGTGCGACACGTACCGGCCCCCAGTACACAGTCAGGCATACAAATACAGACCAGTACAATTAAACACAAGCGGGTAACATTTATTTCGTACATTTCTTTTAATAAGGAGGTGCGAACAGAGAAAAGCATACCAGATAAAATGCATATGGTCTATACTTATTCTTGAACTTAACAGATTTTGGTTTGTCTTTATACAAACTTTGACTTTGTACATGATTAGACTTGTTTAATTGCTAATTCTGTTTTAAATCTAAGTTAATTTCTCATTACCCTTCCATTTCTACTTCTTATCCTCTGGGGAAAAGAGCACACTTATCATTGGGACATTCTCACATCTTCCAAAGAAGTGGTGTAGGTGTTAATCTTATGTTTATGTTTGATGTGGGTGTGATGACTATGACTACAGCTTTGGGTTTATTAATATGCACGGCTATCACCTCATTAGTTGCAAGGTTTGTTTTGAAGTTAAGCTGTAATATTTGCTGAAATGTCTGATCTGGAATAAAAGACTTGCTCATTGTTTGTTTCCTTTGCTTTAATCCATGCTCTAGTCACAAACTGTCCTTTGCTGCACTGCCTTACACAGCTTCTTCATGATGATTGCTTCTCCACCTTCCTTATCACCACGGTGGAAATTCTTGACTTTTTAGCCTACGCGAGCTTTCTGCATGGTCTGCTTAACACGGGGCAGCAAGGAAGTCAGGGTTAAATTTCCTTCCGTTTACCTCCGATGCATTAAAACCAGCAGACAGCTGAAGGAGATTCCTTCGAGAAATAAGCATCTTCCTTGCACCGTGTTACTCTGTAACCCATTTTGAAGATACAGAAGTACACACACATGTTCTGTACCTTAAAAATGGGCACAGAGTAATACTGAAAACCAATCCCTTGAGGAAACTCTGCTGAGCCCTGGAACGCTAGTTATCCCCTCCATGGTATTCTGCAGTGCTGTCCTCACCTTGGTCAATCTAGCAACAGACCAAGGCCAGAAGAATCTGAAGTGTGATGAAAAATCTGTTTCTGTGCTTTTCTTTAGACCATAGCAAGGACCATACGTAATTCATCAAAAACTCAGAGCTGCTCTTCAATCAAGGCAATGAAACCCATACGGAAGGGGAGATTTTGTTTTACAGGCAAAGCAAAAATCAGACCCAGGTTCTAAATTTACAGCAGAACAACAATAAAATGTTACACTTATAGTATTTATGCTTGACCACAATGCTCTCTCCAAATCACATTCAATAGGTGGCCAGAATCATTATTGAAAAAATTAAAAATGAAAAAAAAGATTTCAAATCTGCTTTTTCTTTCTAGGTGTTACAAAAGCATGGCAAAGACCGCATAGCCTACACAGAGCGATACCCGGCCACAGATGCTCCAGCTGCTTTTTCTTTCGTATTTATTCTGACAATCACTGCGGCAGCTCTGGCATCTAGGCTGCTCAACCTCTTGCTGAGAGTGGATGGAGCTGAGACATCTCTGCATCTGGCAACATCCAGGCTAGTAGGTGAAATGTTTAAACCATCATCAGAAGTGAAGCCTCCTTGGTACCAGCCACCGAGTTGGTCATGGGCTCTGGGTTATTTTTGTTCTTCTACCCCAGTGACAGCCCAGGGTCACATACACCAGCAGCCTTAGCATTCCACTTACCGGGGGTAACAAAGTCAAGTCCTTACTTGAGCTCTACTCACTCTTCTGGCCACAGCCCTCTTTCTCCCACCTAGGAGAGAGCCTCTGCTCTCAGGTCAGAGCGATCTCCCGGGAAGGAGATGCTGTGAGACCGAGGAGGAATTGAAGCTGACGCCCTGTTGCACAGCTGCTCGCTGGGCCATCACACAAAGGGAGGATCGATCTCCTCCTCCACTACAAACTCTCCACAAAAGCCTGAGGACAGTCTGAGCCTGAGCTCCGAGGAGGGGCAGGACCTCAATTCATACTGGTAATCAGTGTTTCCCATTAGCTTCTTCGTCCCACTCAGCGCAGAGATTTCTGGATGACTCTCCAGAGCTGCCTGACTCCTTGCACCGATCACCCCAGGACACCGGGCGCCTAACCCAGGCATTTCTCCTCACCTTGCCAGAGCCTCGCACCTACTTCTCAGCCACTGCAAAACTAGGCACCCCAGAAGAAATGCTCTTACCTAGTTGGTTTGCAACTTAAAATTTTCTACGTGTCTCTCTACTTTACACTTCCCTTTCAATCACAAATGATGTCGGTTACTGCACGCTCCAACTGTGCACACGGGCTGAGTGAGCAGATGGGTTAAATTAAACAGTATTGTTAGCAACATTAGGAACCAGAGCAGTTACTTTCAGACACTTTAGAAACATTATAAATGTAATGAGTTTCTCTTGCCTTTTTTTTGGGGGGGTGGGGGGGTGGGGGGGTGGGGGTGTAGGGGGAAGGGCTTCTTTGTTCTTTAAACGGCATTTTCCACTGTTTCCAGAACTGACATTGGTTTTGAAAGTTCTAGTATATCTGAATTAACTTACCACAACACACAAATTTTTAACAAAACGTAACAATACTAAAAAGCAAGAAAGATATGAGAAGTTTAAAAAAATAAAGATTAGCTTCAGAAAGGAGAATAAACAGCAAAACCCAAAAATGGCTTACGTCCAAGCAGGTTTAAAGTTTCTTTAGCTATTCATGACCATGTTAAAAGACAGTGGGCCATGATTTTAGAGATCTGAGACTCTAGCAACGCTTGTAGCTCTCACGTGAGATTTCTGAAGCACATAAGAAAATTCATGATCTATCTTCTGTTTTCAATACTAGTCAAACATCTGATTTTCCTTGCTGATTTTTCCACTGGGCACCTGTTTGTATCCCTAAGCATCTAAATCTCTATAAAATTCATTTCTCTCTTTAGTCTTCTTCTTTGTAGGAGAGGAGGGAGGGCAATAAAAGAGAACAGCAGTAAAAATATTTTATCAGAAAATCTGCAAGGCTAATGAGTAAGATTCATTCTGCATTACTCCACTGGAATTAAACCAGATGTTAGTATGGTCTACTGTCTCTGTAGAAAGTGTTGTTAAAATAAAATAATATGGTATTTCATCGGAAAACAGAAAACATCTGTTACTCACCTCTGTGTAAAATCTTTAGACTCCATAAATAGGTAAGGCCTTTCACAACCTGAATTTAAAAGAAAAAACAACACCACATATTAAAGATTCCTGGTAAGAAACACTACACATCTCAGTTGGCACGAGTCGTTAAAGACCCAAGTTCCAATGACGAACGGAGCCTGGACCACAAAAAGGGGAGACAAAGCATCCCCTCCAAAGGATCGCGGGACCCCTATGAACCGGTGCTACAAACCCGCGGCAGACTACACAGCAACAGGTTCTTCAAGAACACACGAATAAGCTTCTTCCCAGGATCTGTAAGTTGAAGTTAGTTGAGCTTATACTGAATCCCTTTAGGCATTTCAGTGTACTTTTAATTCAGCTATCTTTGCCGGGGTGTCAAAAACCATGAAAGACAAAGCGCGTAATAATTTGTCTTGTTGCAACAAAAGCAACCCAGTGAAATTAAAGGCCAGAAAATAACAGAATCTCTACTAGCCTTATCCACTTCATCCTCCCTTTCCCCTTCTTCCCATTTGGTGCACTTGTACGTTTTCCCCCTTTACTTCCCATGCTCAATGCAAATGCTGAATATTTCTTCTTGAACTGCACAAATTGTCTTATTCTTCATGTTACTCATCCTGGACCAAATGCAAGCCTTACTGTATCACACAGCCCCAGAAAATACAACTGGGACCCGTACAAGACAAGAATTGGGCAGACTTTGGCCTGCTCTTCCAGAATTTGCTCCTTCCACTAGCTAAACTGTTAAAACCAAATTGAAAAACCTGTTGCTCCAGTATTACATTGGAGTGACTTAGGTATGAGATGCATTTTAATGAAAATCCGTAGGACATGCTTTTGTAGTATCAACGCAGGTGCACTTCCCAAAACAATCACCCATGACACCTCCTTACCCAGAGTATGTACATACGGCTCTGTCAGGTCTGGCAAGATCATCACTGGATCCAGCTGCTACTCTGTTTATTTTCTATATACAATATGATTATAACAGCCCCAAATTAAACAAGCCGTTCAGTCGATTCACTAAGAAAGCAGTTGGATATTACAAGTTATCCTCTCTGCAGGTTCTGTTTCTGTAAAGTAATTAAACCCCAATACTTCTTGCATTTTTAACATTGTAATTTTTCCCCTAGATTTAATATTTTTACAAGCCCAGAGAACTAACAAGATTCAACAAATATATTTCTACCACTGCTTACTTTCTACCCAAACCATCCCTGCTGTCTCAGCCAGCTCTTTTAAGAGAGCAAATATTTTTTACAAAGTTTCCATCTACGAGGCGACATTTCATTCATTTTCCTTGGACACTCTCTTTATGCATCTCCAGAACAATAAAGCATTTCCCACGTTTGTAAAGTTGTATGAGTTTTTTCAGACAAAACAATTACACTCTTTTCATTGTCCAAGTAGTCTGAAATGAAATTACTTCTGTTGCGGTGATCAAGCAGAAGTGCTAAAAAATACTATTCAGCCTCAAAGCAGATAGCACAGTAATTTTCAGCCTTCCTATTGGATTCGAAACTCATTTTAAAATTGATTCTGTAACCAAAAACAATGTCAGTGGAATCTGAATCTCTTTTGTAAAGCAAATAATGATTCCAGATCCCCAGTAAATTGCTCTAGGTGGCAATTCCTCAGTGTTAAACTCATGCTCCATCCCCAACCATCTCATGGCCTCAGATGGTAATTACCTGTAACAAAAGGCCTTAGTCAAATTCTGCATGCCCAGCGGTGTGGCCTTGTTCACGTTAGCCTTTCAGAAAGCAAAACAGGGGAATTCTACTTACACAGCATTTTGATATAAGAAGAAAAAAAAAAAAAAAAGTACTGATGCAAAAATAAAGAAGGTGCAACATTTCAGGCCTCCTCCAACGGTGAAAATGATTTTGAGAACAGTAAGCTGCTTTGATTATTAAACACATATTTAGACTCTTTAAGAATCTTTAAGATCATTATAAAATTATTTAATTTATTTTAAAGCACGTTTTCATAGAAAAAAGGGAAACATTTCCTACAGAAAAAAAAAAAATCAACAGCTGTGTCTTATTAACCATCTTTATTACGGAACATGTGCTGAATAAGCCGTTATAAGAGACACGGTATTAAACAAACTCTCACATTCAGATTCTCTCAGCATCAGTGTACAAAGGAATGAAAAGAATTTTTCCCTTTATCCCAGGCTGCAAATATGCGCACAGGAGCCCCTCAAATGGACTAACCTGGTGTAAAGTACCGTTATTCACTTACCTTACATTTGCCTATTAGGGAAGGACTCTTAAGTATTAAATATTATTCTAAAATGGTGCTGGAAGAGAGTATCTTTTGATTGAACATCTAGCAGGAATTATTGGTATTCAGTAAAGTAGGTTCTACAACAATGACTTGACAAAGCCTTGACACAAAAAGTACTTCTACCTGCTGTCAATAACTCACTCTCTTGACAGTTCAAGTGCACATCCTTTCAGGGAGAACTTCAATCAACATTAGCACTCAAAATACAGTGCACAATGTCACTGCTTCAGAAATTGAAGTGAAAATAAACGTGTGAAGTGGCGAGCAAAGGTAGAACAAATTTTACATTGGCAGACCCAAAGAAGTACACTTCAGTAAGAAAACAGGAGCGACCACAACATCACTTTGGGGTTCCCAAGATATCTTTTTCCTTTGGAAAAACACACCAGTCCCTTGCACAAATAAAGAACACAAGAAAGAAAAGAGGTTTCCTCTTCTTGTTAACACTGTTGCACACAGGCAACCAGGATGAATTTTACGATGAAGTCTGAGATCCCTCCAGCTTCTTGGGGACCCAAGTCTCAGCAGACTCTACCTCTCTCTTAGCACTTTATCCTGCCCCTGAAAAACCAGTGCTTCTCCCCACGCCCTGGCAAATGCTTTCCTCCTTTAAGGATTTCTTTTCACTGCCTTGCTTTATTTTCACCATCTCGTCTTTCAGCCTCAAACCTCCTCCCCGCCCTTTACTCCTCAAAAAAATAACTGACGGAGAAGAGTATCAGGCTCAGCAATATATTCCTGCTATTTCAGCTTGAAAGCTGACTGCCCGTCACAATTCATGGTGATCACTTCTTCATTGGGAAACGGATAACAAGAATGCAGAACACCACTATGGTATAAGACTACGTATATTCTACGCGACCCTGTGATATCCAGTTTCATTCTCAGCAGATAAGGGTTCCTATCAGAAAAAATACAGTGGCAGTTGCTATCATCAGAAAATATTTGATTGTCTCAGCAGACAAAACTCTCCTCTGTTTCCTGCCAAACTATGAGAAAATCTGGTTGGGAGGGGAGCGTACGAGAAAGCAAGTATCATACATGACCATTAAGCAGTGCACTGCAGGTACCTGGTAAGCATTTATAGCGGTATTTCAAGGAAATGGGTGAGAAACGAGTAGCAACACAGTCCTATCCTCTCAGCTACAGAAAGTCAGGGCTGTCAAGAAAGGGATGTCTCAGGTAGTTCAGCCCCAGCCTGTGGAGATCAAACAGTGCAAGGAAACGACCTCGAGTACAACTCGGTGCTTTACTGGGCAAGTGCGGCACAGGGCTAAGGTGCTCCCTTTGCCGTGTCCGGTTGAGCAGATGCAGATCTGGTTCTAGACCAGCTGGAATTTGCCGTGCCTTTCGTGCTCATTGCTGTGAGTAGGACAATCATTTTTAAGGGCTGTCAGTCCATCGCTTTTCATGATGATTACATTTGTATAACGAGAAAGGAAGCAAGAAAATCATCGAGTAGGAGTGAGGGGAATGCTGGGATGCTGCTAAATGTCTATACGTGCCTGCATCATTTTCCTCTGGAAATGGTTTCCCTTAAAAACTTCTACAAATATAACAAAAGGGTATTCTAATTAACAGATGTGCAGGTCACACATATTATTAAGCGGCTTCAATAGACTAATGCATTGTACAAGTCTCAGGAGAATAAAAGACAAATGACTCTGTGTACATGGTGCGAGGAAGGTAGAAAGAAAACATACAGACTGGAAAAAAAAAGAGACTACGGAAGCTCCAGATTTTGTCCACAGAATCCACCCATGCAACCTCCAGCTTTTGTCTGACCTTCTCCTCCTCATCAGTACATGAACAGAAATCCTCCAGGCTTTGGGTAATCTTCACAAGCTGTTCGGGGGGGGGGATTATGGTGTCTGTGTACAGCACTTGGCAAAAAGGTGCCCCAACCCACGGACTGGGCTGCTGGGCTCTACTGAAATGTCAGACACCAAGATGCAGGGTAGCCATTTGTGAAGACTTAAAGGAGCCATTCCTAACAAAGGCTTTCACTGCCTCCTTCCAACAAGTCTACTATGGCAATCGAGCAAAAAATCAGCACCAGAGCAGAGGAAGCTGCCAGGGCTGGTTCAGCCTCAGCGCACACCTTCTGTTAGGGAGAAGCAGGAGAAAGGGGCGAGCTCCTTCTCTGAAGGCACCCGCTCCTTTGTTCCCCTCTTTGCTGACCCCCTGCACTGCAGCAGGCACGGTACAGGTTGCTAAAGCAGCAAATAAAATAACTAGAGAAAGCTAAGTATCAGCTCACCGTCCATGTCAGGGAGTCATGCTCGCTAACTAACAGATTTGTAAAGAGATGACCCTGCAGGTGAACAACAACAACAACAAAAATATATATATCTCAAGACATAAAAGATGGGGCTGAAGCACCACCATTATGGATAAGTGAAAAACTGGAAGAGAACATCTGCAGAATACCAAGCCAGGTGGGCTGGGGAGGATGGGGGAGAGGAGAGACAAAAGCAAGTAAGGAAATTATAAGGTAAGTTAGTGTGGGGGTATTAAGTACGTAACATGAAGTGAGATAAGGAAAAGGAGAAGGGAGAAGCACCTGAAGAAATGCTTGAAGGCCCATCCCAGTATTATTACACTATACACATGCTACTTAGCGTCAGAAATATGAGGACACCGTGAGCAACTTATCATTCATTGCTCCATAGGGAAGAAGAGATGAAACGTTTTTACTCTGAACTAAAGGTGAAAAGCATTCAAATTCCATAAGAAACTGCTAAGCTATATAATGAGCAGATTTGAAACTACTTAGAGGAAACAGCATCAGAGAAGGATGTTCATCACCCTGGGCAGGCCACACAAATTAAGAGAAAGTAGAGCTGTGAATTACAATGAACAGAGACTAAATAGCTGCCTGTGTTGGATTAAAGGATTTAAATTGTCAGCTTGATGTATAATGAATGTGAAAACCCAGCACTTAATTAAATGGCACATGATAGAATAACTTTGTTATCCTTTAAACTGCTTAAGTTATCAAAGTATTCCTTATATTTAGCAATTGTTTAGCAGTATCTCTCTCCCTTGTGAGATCCACTAAGACACTGGTCATTTACCCTGTGTTCAGCTGTGGCAAAACATGGAACTTTTTTTTGTACTGTCATCTGAGTTTTCAATCACGGCTAGGGAATTTCTAGCAATGCAAAGTCACCGAACGCTGCTGAGACACAAGGATGGGCTACCAGGTGCTCTAAGGAACCCACTGTCAACACCTTGCTACCAAACCGAGTAGACATGGGGGACTGATGGTCTGTGATCTGGGAAGAACCATCTCCCTGCTCACCACCCCCAAAATGACTATTAGCTCTTCAACCGTGAGGGCTCACGTGTGAAGGGTCCCAGCACAGGGGTGGGAGAGCAGCCTGTCCCCAGGCAGCCTTTGTCAGGCCTGGCTCACGCCATATAAAAACTTCAGCCTCCTCCCTGTCCGCCTTAAGGAGTACATCCGCCACAGGGGAAGACAGAAAATGTGTTCTGCTATTGCATTTTGATAACAGGAACTGACTTAATTTTTCAACCTGGAAAGCAAATCTAATTGAGTTACTCTGCACAGAATGAGGACAGTTAGAATGGAAATTACACAGGAGAATCAGCAGAAGCAGCAGACGAGGGATCACCATAAGGGCTAGGACAGGGCTTCTGAATCACTTTTATAAAGGAATCATATAGCACAGAAGGACTTAAAGGCTAAATAAAGGCAATTCAGAGGACTGCTCCATCCTACAAGGGTTGATACAAAGAAATATGACCACACAGTTCTCCAGCAAATTCATGATTTTTTTTCCTTATCCCATTCAATTTATCACAGCCTTTTACATTTCTTGAGCCTCTGGCAACTCACGCGTTGGTCATTCTAAAGGAAGGCTTCCTTAACCCTGGTGTCCTTGCGCACACAGGATGGTCAGGAAGAGCGAAGAGCGTGAGATAGGAAGGACCCTCCCTTTTACACGGACGCAATGAGGACACGGATCCTGGCGATGACTCCGTGTCCCAAGGGGGCACGTGCGCGCTCAAATCAGAGATGCGTTACGTGCACAATCAAAAACTGAAAGACAAAAAGAAAAAAGTACTTACAGCTACTGCTATTCTTCCGAGTACGTGTTCTGGAATTTTTCTATAAACATCCAAAGAACCCCCTGCAGGGACAAACAAAACGTGCTTAGGTAACACAAAATGAAATACTGCCCTAGATTTGAAGTCACAAGGGTTTTCTAGTCCTTGGTTATTAATAAAAACACCATCAATGATATAACAATAACTGTGTCAGAAATAACTGACCTTAAAAACCTACCAAACTCTGAATAAACACATGGAACAGTACTCAGGTCTCTTTTCACCCACATTACTTATTTTTGCTTGCAGCATTAATACTCAAACTCCTGTTAGAAAACCTCCCAGTCACAGGACAGAATATCGAAACTGGAGAACTCAAAACCACCAGGCTTGGAGCAACTTCTCAGGAATAATAAAGTCATCCCAAAAAGCAACAGTGGACTTCAAAGTCCAAAGTATCCTAACCCTCATCCCCAAGACCTGGCGCTAGCATTACACGGTATCTGATATGATGCTTATACACCTCCTTAAAGCTGCTTCCTCCCGATGATCGAACCAGGGAAAGTTTGGCTGAGCATTGCAGTCTGCGCCCACACTCATGTCTGAAAATAAAGGACAAGGAGCTCCTGGGCAAGCAGATAAGTTTTGCCAGTAAACTCCAGTATGGCACACAACTTGCTATCTGGCATAACCCTGTCCAGCCAGCATCACACATTCGTGGGGAAAGGGAGACGCCTAAGGCCCTCGAATGGTCCTACGGACATTCCCAAGGGACCGGGAAGGATTGTTGCCCTTATCTTCTTCAAAGGAGATTCACGACCAAAACAGTGTTCAAAATGTCCCTGGGGTGAAATACAAATTCTTGGGCAAGAAAGTAAATTTAAAATTGAGAATTAAAAATATCCAAGTAGAATGGCAAAAAAAAAAAAAGGGGGGTACAAGGAAATTACAGGCAGAGCATATTACCATTAGCTTGCAAGAGCGTGTTGTCTTATTCAAGGCTTGAGGTTCTCAGAAGTGCTCAGCACTGATCTAACTCTGCTCTCAGTGCAGCATATGGATTTGACTGATGACACCACTGGCAAAAGAGTTAGGCCAATACTCAGCAACTAAGAAAACTACACCTTCTACTTTGCTTATGGTTCAGTTTTTAAAAGTAAACCCCATTCATTCCGAAATGCTGCAACCCAAAGAAGTCACAAAGTCCTTATTCCAGTCTTCAGCCTTAATTATACAATAGTTCTTATTTATACTATACTTCTTATTCTAATGACTGAGGTTTTGTGGTGGTGGTTGTTGGTTTTTACCCTTCATTTTCCTCATTCTCTACTGTCGGAAATACAGTATATGTTTGTCTTCACTAATGTTGCTCTGATTCCAGGTCACTGAAACCGCTATTCATTCATTAAATTTAATCTTTCAAATTATATTGTCCACATTGCCTGTGGATTATAATGAATCTCAGTTTGAAAAGTAAATGTAAGTACTGTTTAATGGAAATAAGAGGATGTAGCATCACAGATACTTACTGCTCATTACAAAAGCCAAAGAGAAGGCAATCATATGGCAGGTGTTAATGCTTATAACGTATCCTTAAATTTTGGAAAAAAAAGACCTATTTTCATACACCAAACTGCTAAGTCTCACTATTACAGATGTTACTAAAGGCAGCGCTGTTTGAAAAATGAAGGAAAGTATCTTGCTGCAAACTATTGGGGAAATCTGCTATTTTTCTACGGAGAAAAAATTCTGTAGTGGACATTTCCAAATCCAAATAATGTTAGCTCCCGTTACGTGCAGACATCCAGGCACAGTCTGATGACCTGCACCTCTCGCTGCTTTTAAGGAGAATTTAGCAGCTGTTCAGCAGTTTCAAGGAGAAGAGGCAACAACATAAGTAAAAGGCAATAGTGCATTTCACCATCTTTCTTTAGAACATCATCTTTATTATAAATATAAAAGGGCAAAGATTAGAAAGCCTCATTTCACACCTCTCTTGCTCTTTAAGATCAATTGGCAGGTGGGAGGGCGATCCAGGTCAGTTGAACCCAGCGTTTTTGTATTTGCAGACTTGGAGTTATTTGGCTTTTTCCTGCTTGCAGGTGCTAGGAAAAAAAAATCAATATGATACTCTATGTGCACCTCTTTCCTACGTGTATGTAAGTCATGAGGATCCCAAAAGAGGCAGATCCATCTGTATCCAGGTAATTTAAAAAGGAAATGTCTATGTTTTGGAATATGGTACAGGATACAACTGGGTCAACAGAGTCATGGGACATGGATTTGGGAAATACTACAAACTGGCCTAAGACAGTCAAAGGGGCTAAAAATTTGTCAAGGTTAAAGCTGTTCATCTGCAGGGTGAGAACGTATTTTTTCTTATCTTCACCTGCATCCTTACACATCAAAATTAAAGGTCGGGGGAAAAAAAAAATGACAAGGTCCCTTTATTTGCATTTTGTTCTTCCTTTAAATGATTGCTGTTGCTTTCTGCCAGAAGGAGTGCACAACATGAGGCAGACCAGAGGTCATCTCCAGTATAATTCCAAGTAATTTGTGCATGGTCAGTCAACACCATCGTTGTGCAACATCATGAGGGATGCATACCCTAAAGGCTTAAATATTTTCAAACAAGAATTCAGAACTGCAAGCATTTATGTCCATCATTTTTAAAAATCTCTGAATTAGTAGGAGCATACATACTCTAGGCAGATGCGTGTTTTGGCACGAGCAGATGCTTCCTTATGCGTGTGACTACTGCTTAACACAGGCTTCAAGTCTGAGTGCAATTGCAAGGACAGAACAGAGAAATGGCTAACAGTCACACAGCACGAGAACAGCAAAGAATTTAACTTGTGGGCTTTGCTGAATAAATAGAATACTTTGTCATCAAATACAGAAAATCTGAGAGAATACTCATACTTGGAAATGGGGCACAGTGATCACAGGGGCAGAGGGAGTATAAAGAGAGAAATAACAGTAATAACAGACCATTTTAACAGGGAGAAAACAAAATGCACCATAAAACCCTAAAGGGCTTTATCTGTGGTCCCCATCAGAAAGAAAGAAGCTACTCAACGATGCTTAATGGTACATGTTTAGCTTCGGAAATTTTTCCTGCCAGAAAGCCTTCCCTCCACAGCAAATTATTTGCGAGATCCTTACTTCTTTACATCCAGCTTAACCGAACCTTTGTGAAAAACCTGGATAGGGCATAAAATGCTGGCTCATAAGAAAATCCTGGAGAGAAGAATAGATTATTGCTTGTAACAACAATGTGATGTCAAAAGTTGAACGCTGCGAAGGGGGTTCTTGCACACGAGACACAAGGGGACTGCATCTGTCACGAGACGCTCTCAGAATTGATACACAGAGGGCAGCAATGATTATAAATTGCTGTAATCAGTATACTTCTCCTGCCTTTTCCCCAAGAATGCCACGCAGCACAAGATTTCAAAGCAAAGTACTAATACATCTCCATAACGACAGTGGCATCAGATTGTGGGGAAGGGGATACTGTTGGCCTGAAGATTCACACTGGGAGAAACAAGAGTACACTCCAAAAGAAACTCAGCACAGCACTGCTAAACAGCTGCGTTGGAAAATAATTCCTTGTCTTGCAATTAAGAGACGATTTCCACTGAAAACACATAGGACATTGGGTTAATAGATTTCTTTAAAAGAAAATCTGTTTTGGCTATCAAAACAGTAAAAGTGAGGAACAGCTGTTTTGTCAGCGAGGACAGATTGTATGGAAGACTCGAATATCAAACCACAAATTAAGCTAGCATTTATTTCTCTTCTATTTACATTTTCAATAAAAGTAAGGGAAGTTACACTCGGGGAAAATACAGCGTACCACGGAGAATATAACGCTATTCCAATACTAACCTGTTTTTTTAAAAACTACCTGCAAAGTTATTAATACTTCATATTTTTGAGTCATGCTACTGCATTTTGCTCCATTCAGGAGAAGCACATCTTGATATGATTTTCCCACTTACATACTTAGCAATCAAAAGCACACTAGATACGCAACTCACCATCCATGAACTCTGTACACAATGAAATTCTGTTTTCTACAAAAAAAGCACCATAAAATCCTATGATATATGATGAGTCACACTGGAAAAAGAAGGGAAAAAGAGAAGCCTGTTTTAAAATCTGCTGTGAGATGATTATAAGCAAGAATAATGAAAATGAGAAAAATCTATCTACCTTATAAAGAATTTCTAACTCCGACATTATCTGCTTCTGGAGTTCCAGTGTTATATCTAAGGGTATGACCTAAAAGACAAAAAACGGACACGTGATCAGAGTTGACATAAAAAGTAAATGAATGATTCAAAATAAAAAACTGAAGATCCATGTAGTAGTTATCTTTACGTGAGAAAAGGAAAGAGAGGAATAAGGGAAAAGAATATTTTAATAGAGTGATGAGCCAAGGAAGGAAATAGAAAGGACAGATATTTAAAAGTCAGTTACAAGTGCAGTAAGTTATACAGCCAATTTTATCCACGAAGCGTCATAAGGTTTGTGGTTTAACCATTTGACCAAGAGATGAGTTAGAACTTGAAGAGAAGCCCCACACATAATGTAAAGAGCAGGCGTGGTCGATCTGCAGGTCGCTAAACTCAGAGCTGCTGCGTGTTCACCCAAGGTGCGATCGCCTCCCAGCTCCTGCTCAGCACGGCCGCCTCCTTGTCTGCCCAGCACCGACTCTTCTCTCTGCAAAGGCGCCTTGTGAAAAGGCCTGGAAGGCTGTGACCCCAGCAGGCCTTGCCGAGCGTGCCGATGTCAACTCTAAATAGGTACCGTAGTATTGAAAGCATCTCTGAACATCTCAGCGGTGCCTTAAAGGAGCGTCGCCTGCCACCACTCTCACAGTTCCAGTTTCTTTAATATTTACCCGCCTTTTTATATAAATTCCTAACGTTGTATGAAACATAGAAAAGTGTTAAATATACAGAAAAAAAAAAAAATGCAGATGCTAGCAGATGGTACAGATGCTTAGGTAAGCATCACCAAAGCATTCCTCAAAACAACTACAAACAACACGACCCTGAGCACTCAGCAGCGCTAACCAGCCGCTCACCGCCACGCTTGTCTGCTGCCTCCTGCATCCATGCCCTCCTTTTTCATCATTTTGAGCCCGGCCGCTCCCCAGGACTAAAGTACCAAGTGCTGCGGGGAAGGCGGGGTGCAGCGCCTGCAGTTACAAGTTTTCAGGATTTTCAGGACAGATCCTCTTAATAAGGATGCTGGTTCTGACAGAACCAGTGCTGAAAGTCAACTTTTAGAAACAATTCTTTGCCATGATTATTTGAAGAGCTGCACGCTTAATTATTAAGTACTACTATATAAAGCAAAATGGACTCCAAATGCATTTAGCCAGGCTCCATCTGCTATCGCACAATATTTCACGGTTTAATACTTTAAGCTAAAGGGAAGCAAAATCCAGTCAATTTGCAGAATTAGCAGAATAGATATTATAGGCTACGTATACTGCTGACGAAACAAAATACACAGAGACCATTTCCAAACACGCATTTTACGGTATCAAAATCTGTCTAAAAGAAAAAACGATAACCTGTTTCTATCAAGAGTTTGCTTTAGGGTTATTTATAAAAGCTGTCACTAAACTAAATTGTAAGTGTAATACAGGGCTGCCAAGAAACGTTTAACACACTTGTCTAGATCAATAATCATTTGCCAACAATATTCACTTACATTTTTCCAGCGTGAAAAACTTAAAATAATTTACTGGAATACCATCAGGTTTCCCCATTGAATATTAACAGAATTTAATCTTGCCAACAGTCTAAAATTAAATTTTATCTCACTAAATTCTACTCACAGTGAGAAATTTCCCTGCCTCGTTCACTGCGAAGGCTTCGCCGACCTGAGCAACGACTAGTTAGCATGATCAGCGCCAAATACATCACTGACATCCAATCAACCATGACCTGGCATGAGGAAAGGTCGCTGGCTGATTTGCATTAACTATAATTACATACAGAACCTGCATTCTAACAGTGAGGATAACCTGGAAAAGCAGAGCTTCCCTATTTACAAGTGGTCAGGATACTACAGGGCAGGGCACGTACAGAACTGCACTGCAACGGTATGGCAAGCATCCGTCAGCACAAAATAAATCAGGAGAGACCGCTGTCTCGCTTTCTCTGCATAACTACTGTACAGAAGTGTTTTCTCCCATCTACACACGTGTGGCTTGCGTGACTTGGAACACAGGAGAGGCACCCACCTGATGTCAAGGCTGGAGGAACCTTATGTTGTTTACAGCATTGCAACAGGGGCAGAAAGAGGAAAAAAATATGTCTATAGCACCACCCTAATCGGCATTTGTCATTTGTAATCTCCATGGTCATACTCCTTTTGTATAAAATTTCCAAGCCTATTTAGAAAACGAAGTTTGTATGGGTGAGAATATAAGATATATAAGAATATGTGAAAAAATATACCAATATGTGAATGAAATGCAAGCATATGTGAGCTGACAGTGTTAAGCACGGACTGGCACAGTGTTATACCAAAAAAAGCAAAAAACAAAAAACCAACAACAACAACAAAAAACCAAACCACAAAAAAAAAAAAAAAGAACCCAAAAACCTCCTCAAGCCCATTGCTACCAAGGAAGAAGCTATGAAGAAGGATTTGGCTGCAGCTTCCACAAAAAAAAAAAAAAAAAAACCAACAACAAAAAAAAAAAACCAAACCACAAAAAAAAAAAAAAAGAACCCAAAAACCTCCTCAAGCCCATTGCTACCAAGGAAGAAGCTATGAAGAAGGATTTGGCTGCAGCTTCCACAACCGTAACACAGGTGAGCAAATGCGATGTAACATTAAACAATAAACTTTTCCAAAACGGCACCTTTGGAAAGAACTTCGTAGAAAAAAAATCACCGTGATTTTCTCAGAATTATTGAGAGCAGAAAAGTGAAACTGAATTCAGCAGGCATAGAATAACACGCTGTGAGTTCACACCTCACCGTTCAACACATGCGGGAGCAGAATTTCTTGACAAGTTTGCACCAGAAGCTACCAACCAAAGGCCGAGGAGCAGAGGAGCTCGGCAGGTTGCCGCTGGTCAGCGGTCCCCAGCCACCCACGCTTGCCAAGGGGCAACCGAGCCTGGGGATGCGGATGGCCAGGACGGATCTAGATGGACGGATCTGCCCTGATTTCAAAACTAGTTGAAGTGGTGCCTCACAGGTAGAGCTGGAGAAGGATCCTAGACAAGGGGAGCATTTTTTTTTTTCCCTTTTTTTAAATTTAAATGACACAGTAGTCCTCTGGGATTCAGCAAGGGGCTCCGAGCACTCCTGCACATCTTCCTTATTAAGTTCCTGCCTAAAATGCAGCAATCTTGGAACCACTTAGCACGCTTATAACGTGCAGGAACTCAACGTACCTAACGTTTCAAGTGGAAAGGGTTAATTTTTAAAAGAGGAATACCTGAGCATATTTCTCTGCTCTCCACTACACCTCCAAGACAAATAAGGATGAGTTGTCAAGTTAAATACAAGCAGTCAAGTGACTGAATTATAATTTACTCTGTGCTCAATTTAAATTAGTGTGAGGCTATTAAAATATACAGTATAAATACGGCAATTCATCACAAGCTGTCATGGATGACTTCATCTATTTGCTGGAGTGGCATACGTTCCACTAAAGGGAACGAGAGCAAAATCACAGGTCAAATTAAGCTGCTATTCTGTTTTAATTCACTTATTTAATCTGTGGCGACATAATTGTCTTTTACAGTATGTACAACTCAAAGGAAATTTGGGAGTATTACAGTCAGTATACAAATGATTAATCAAATGGTCCATTTAAATGCTAGCTTAAGAGCAGGAGAAACTAAAAGCAGTTGAAGAATGGCAATCAGCCAGCACTTGCTCAAATTTTTCATTCGGATTTTCCCCTCTAATTAGGAAAAAAGTTACCTTAGAAAAAGCTATTAAATCCTCTGCACATTATCTATCTGTAAAGTTTACATAAACTATGTCATGACATCGCTTTGGTCTATAACATAGGTATCAGCATTGCTTTGTTTTCCTGTTCAACATATTTGCAAGATTATCTACCAGCTGAAAGCATTTTAATCAACAGGTTTTCAGAATGTTATCCTGCCCTATCAGATCTGTATATTATTGTCAAAAAAAGCCCCCAAAAATGCAGAGCTCTGCTTTCACAGATCCACCCAGTGACGTCCCTTTTAGCGTGGCAATCTTCTGTCAAAACCCCTGATCCTCGTGAGGATCGTGTCAAGACGCTGGCACTACCACCCTCTTTTTATTGCGGGGTATGCCGAGCCATAGATGCGTTCAGTAATTTTCTTACTAGAGCAAGCCGGCACGATCACTATCATAGCAGGTTTCCTGACCTCCAGTTTGTGGGCATGTCATTTTAAACTACGACAATACACACGTGTTGACGCAATATTTCTTCGGAAATCACACTAAAAAAGTATAACTGAGAGTGACAGGACCTCCATGGGTACTATCTACAAGAGAACCCACTTCCCCAAATCTTCAGGATGCTAATTATCCACCAGGACTAACCAAACCCTTGGACTCTAAGGGAAACAAGGAGGTGAAATTGCTGGGGGGAAAGGATTTTTTGCCACAGGGAGGTGATTTCAATTAACCTTGCAAAGGGTGAACTCATTTCCCCTCCTGCCTGTGTGATTTTTCTCTTGCTCCACCTCATCTCCAGGCAGCTTCCGAGGGCACCGCCAGCCCCGCCGCAGCACGGGGCGGGTGGCAGAGCAGCAACGTCGGAGCCGCCACAGAAGATGCTCTCTGTAGAGCTTGAAAAGGATGATTTGAGGAAGCAGTGCAGTAGGTACCCGGGAAAAGCAGCATCCTTACACAACCCCAGCATTTAGGGGAAGAGCTTTTTTAGTTCCACATTGGAAGTTGTAATAAAAAATATTTTTGATTATTAAAGTTTTCTGCATTTTTGTGCCTATTACAACTCAGAGAATTCTTCTCTTACTCCAACTGCTCATAACAGGTTTAGGAATGACAGATACCACTTGAAAGGACTTTTTCAAAATGACTTTTCCAAAAACTTTTTCAAGTGATATTTGTACTCCATATAATTAGAAGTTATTTGGATGTTATTTCAATTTCCATATTTTCCACACGTAGAGAATCATTTCAAATCCAGTAGGAAACATGTGCTTTTCTTCAATTCATTGGAAAGTCAAAAGCATTTCTCCTAGTGAAGGGCGAAGGCATTTATGTGATCCTCAGCAAAGTCGAAACATGAGCAGAATCTCCTTTCAGCAATTCTGATGGGAACCGCAAGACAATAATCTGAGCCCAAATCTCAAAGTTATCCATACATGTAAATACTGCCCGGTAAATATAAATGCTTCATTTGAAGTCTTACTATAATCTTATACCTTTAAATTCCATTTAACACCAATTACTGCTTGCAGCAACTGGCTCCCATCACTCCTCTTGCCCTCCTCTCCTACTCCCGCATTCTTCTAGTTTGACTCGGTTACACCAGAATGTAATGATTAAATAAAGACAGTGAAAAAAAGAAATGAGACAAAAAGCCCATTTTACAGTTTTCTAAGTAATTATTCCATAAATTACATTTTTTAAAATATATTTTTATATTCCAAACTATTAAGTGGAGTTGTATGAATGCAACAATTAATTTGTTTTCCAAAACTCTCTACTGCTTTGAGCTTTAACAAAATCGCCAAATTAAAAAAAAAATTTGTTTGATATACTAAAAAAGGACATATTTCAGTATTTTTGTATAGATTAACTGTATTAATAATTCAATCTACAAATTTAATCTAATTTAACAAATTACATACAAGAGTTGGCATACTGTTGTCAGAGTTGCGCTGTTAGTTTACCACAGCTTTAACGGAACTTTAGACAAGACTGGTATTTATCTGGCCACCTAACACTACAGTATACAGCTTCACTGCAAAGAATGCTAACAAGGGGAAAAAAAGCCAAATCAGCTGGATAAAAAACAATCGGGGGGGATGGGACATGAAAATAAACAAACCTGTTAAACCCACAAAAATCTCCTAGGAAAACAGAGTATTATCCCAAAGAAAAAGAGGGAAATTCTCTTTATTTAAAAATGAGGTTGCAGAGCCACTCAAGAATACGCCCCTGGGGACAGTTTGGCATCAGCAGAGGAAGGTACAGGCTGACATCCCGCGACCTTTCCATCCCCGCTCATGTAACGCCGGGCTCAGGACGGTGAAGCAGCATCTCCGTCAGTCGCTGGAGAGGCTCAAACCACGACTGCATCCACGTAACCCCAGGGGAAGACGTGGTGGTACCTACACACGGTGCCAAGCAATTCCCGGTGGGCGAAACCTGGATCCTGGGAACTCTGTGCTCGTTTGGAATGACCAGATTTATGGACTAGAGTTTTGCTGCATAAACAACGTGGACTTCAATGTAATAAAACAAATTGAGATCTAACAATCAGAGGGAGGGGAAGGAAACCAAGGTCAAGAAAGAACAGAGAGAACGAAAGAGAAAGAAAATTACTGTAATATCTTACCTTTACTGCTAGTATTTTTCCACTAGGGACATGATAGGCCCTGCATGAGGGGAAAAATTAAATAACTTGAGATCACATAAAATTACCTCTATACATATGTGCAACACGTATACACTAATTTCACAGGAAAATGACTTGGAGCTAATACATTTTGCGTTAAACCAATTTTATATAGCATTTCGAAAGACGGATGAAAACAATTGATCAAAAGAATACACGCACAAAGAAACCGTTTAGTAGGTTTTTACTTCTGTACCTTTTATATAAAAATCTACACATTGAAGACTTTTGGACGGTGTAACAGCAAACTTCTAAGTATGAATTTATCCGCTTTCACTTTTTTTTTTTTCAATGAAATAAAATTATGATATATCCATTATTCAGAATCTTCACGTAAAACAAGGTCTATCATGCAAGTTTGCCAGTCCTATGGGTATTTTTTGGTGGTAAGACAGTGAGATACATGCTGTATCAATCAAAGGGAAGTAAACCAGGTAATGACTGATTCTTTGTCATAACCTCAGGACCCACACAAAATAGGAGCGAAATGAACTTTCTGCATTTGTATTTAAGATTAGCACGTGCGTGCGCATATAAGCTTAGAAAGCATTATTGTTAATGCTCACGTGTACCCAAAATAATTTTCCCCAGTCTTTCCAGAGCAGTTTGTCTTAATTTCTGAAGACAAACATTTATAATTGGCTATTTAACAATGACTTGTGTATTCCTAACCATGAACTCGTAAGAAAATAAAAAGGTAGGCGAAAAAAATGTCTACTAAAAATCCGATGTAATTTTGCATAAAAACAAAACCATTAAAGGTTTTCCTCTTCACTAGTTTTATTGTCTCATACTGATTTATGACACCATGCACAGTAATGTCATATATGTGGCACTAACTTTAAAGAATTATAATATTTTACCACTGTATACCTCTAGCAATTATTACTGGAGAAGAAAAGCTTTAATAGGTTTTTTTTTGGCATGCAAAATCATACATAATATAGGGCGAGACTGTTGTTTAATCTTATTTATAATCCTGAGCGCTTATATAATTTCTGTTAATAGCTCAGAAGTTTCTAAAAACTTCACCTTAATTTAATAACTCATGGATAAACATTTATGTAACCAAGTGGCATTAGCTTTTAGGAACAAACACAGTTTAAAAAGGCATACCAAAAATCAGTGTTATTTAATACCAGCACAACACGCAAAAAGCAAAAATCATCAGAGGAAGCTCCGACAGACTGGTGGCTGAATGCATAATCAACGAATCCAACGGAGTAAATGAACTCTGCTGTAACTATGGATGAATCAACAGTGGCAAAACATTATGGACTTAAGATCATCAGAAATGATAAGAAAATGAACAGGTTGAGATAGCATGCTTAACGTCTGTTAGCTTAATATGTACTGTGCCGGACAGTTTGGCAACTTAATTAGCTTGTCAAGAAAGCTGATCTTTTTTCCATGAGAGAGATCTCCTGTTTCCAAGTGAATTAAAAGGGAAGACTTGATTATTTAATTATGATGCACGCTAATTCATCCGTGGAAGTTTGGGTTAAATTTCCAGCAGAGGGCAGATACCTGGTTTGGTTTACAGAGCACTGACAGTACCAATTTAACATTTAATTATCGCTGAGAATTGGATCACAAAGGAGACACCGTGCCCATGGGTACAGTGTGTCCAGTGGCCTTGCAAATGGCATGCTACCTGGGAGGAAAGGAATTTGTTTACTCCAGGCTGATCCGGCATCTCGATTGTCCCGACCTTCCTCAACACAATAACTGTAAAGTGATTAATGGAGTTTGAATAGGAGCTTTGGTTACACCAAAAGACAACCCTACACCTCTGTAGTGTTTTAATTAACAGCTAACACTTCAAATTAGTCTGTAGTTGCTACAGTAATTACCCGTTCCAATGAGTGTGTAGGGAAAACGTTTTTGTTAGATATGATGTAGAACTGTAAGTTGGAATTGATCATTTTGGTTACAGTCAGCACAGCTAAAGCCTGAAGATTCAGTACCTTCAAAAGGATGCACTAAAAAAGAAATCCTACAGAATAATGTGCGCAGCATGAAGAAAAACATGCTTTTTGTGCATACTGCACCCATCAGTAAGTCTATGGATGTCTACGAGGAGATTAAACTAATATTCATACTCTATAAGGAACGTGAAGTCTCGTCTCAAGGGTCAGCTCTCACAGATTTCAGTGTCACCTCCAAAAGTAAGTAAACAAACTCATCATTGTAGAACCAGATCATTAGACGAACCAAAGCAGCAAAATGCAGAAGGTTCCTCAGCAACGCTGTACATTTCAGTGAACACGCACTTAAAAATCCTCCAGGATGGCTGGCAAATGATGTCGCCTAATAAACAGCTACAACAGCAGCTCCTCTTGCTAGGAATGCATTTGAGCAGTGCCTAACAGTAAAGACAAGGGGATGTTAAAGACGACTGAAAACAGTTGCTAAATAGCTGCTGAACTACTTAAAAGACAAATGTAAAGAGCAGAAATTAAATACATTGAAATGCAAAATATTTAAGGAAAACACTGTTTTGACGTTTCTGAAATTTCATTCCTTGCACAAACGGGCTCTGGGAAGACAAGTTCATTCTTCCGCCCTTTTTTCTTGGGGTTTGTTTGGGGTTTGCTTTTGACCCACTGCAAAAGCTGTAACATGATTGAGAATAGGTGGCTATAACTCATTTATTGGTAAGGAGAAATCGAAGAGACAGTACTACATCAGAGAGCGCCAACTTCTGCAATCGGAAGCTTAAAAAGTAATTTTGAACACTTGATACCAGTGTCAACCATTAAAAAATAGAAAAACTTATTATTTAAATTTTGTTGCGATTTGCCAAGTGCAGGAAGGGGCTCCAATGCGCCTTCCCTCTCTCTCTCTTAGTTAATTAGGAATTTATAAGACAAATACCAGGCACGGAGTGCTCTTCGTACTCTCCGGAGAGGAAGCTCCGAACGGACATCGGGACAAATGAAGACTATGTTCTTATGCAGGGCCTGATCCAGATCCTGCTCGGTTTAGTTGGAGAATTGCATCTACCATCAACTTCATGTTCTATTATTTTAAGTGCAAATTGATGGAAATGCTATGAGATTAATAACCACCATAATAACAACTTTCTCAGGACTAAAAATACTTTCTAAATATACATTTTAAAATAATGACATAGTATTTATTAAAATAGTAGAAAAATAAACACAACAGCGATCAGACAATTCGTTTGGTGCCCTATTTCTGCACATAAAGAAACTGCAAATCCAATACCCTGCACCTAACTATTTTTTAATTTTATTTAAAAAGAGGCAGTTGTTAACTATTGGAGCCACAGCATTATTTTAGGCTGAGGATCACGATTAAAGTTATTAAAAAAAGCAAAGCTCAGGAATCCATTTTGGGATTCCTACAAGACAATGAATTTTTTTCAAATTCACCAAAGTCTGACTGTAAATAGGCGTTGTGCGTCTGTAAAAAGACCAGATAGTGCAAAAAGTTGTAGATATCTTAAACCGATCTGTGGTGACACCTTCAAAGTGAACAGTAAAGGCTAGCGGTTGAAAATGGTATCTTAGTCTCAGAATATATATGGGAAACAAGAAAATAACTCATACTCATTTTCCCCAGAAAACGAAAACTCTTCATGGAAGCAAACTGTTCTTTCTTGATGCTCAGAAGTGTATTTTTGTTTCAATGTCCAATACAGATAAGGGACAAAACCTGCACTCGATTTGAGTAACCGATGTAATACTCGCCAGATGAGGAGAAAGGTGATGACCAGCACGGAGGGAAGGAGTAAGCGCAGGCGCACCCCTTATACACATTAGCGGTACCTGGTGCAGGGACCAAGTTAAGAGATTGTTGTTTAATTAAAACTAAGTTTTAATAACTCAGATTAGTAACTCTCCCAACAAAATTTTTATAGGTTTCACGGAAGAGGGCAGAAATCTTCAGGGAAGATGGAGGAAAGAAAGCAGCAACTTTCAGAACTCCTCAGGAAAAAAAAAAAATATCCCAGCAATAGAGGCAGCGCGATAGAAAGCCCTGCACGAGCTCCAAGAAAGAGGGGAAAAATGGAGCAAGAAAGCTGGAAGCTCGACAGGGAGCAGGTGAGTTTTGGGGGGCCTTCCTTCCCCCCCGCCCTGGCGCAGCATGCTAACGCGAGACGGAGGAAGCGGCCGGCATCTCCTTTTGGGAAGTTCTCCTGGTGAACGCATGCGGGCACGCGATGCAGAGAGGCTGGCACAAAGCTGCCGCACGTTGTGTAAGGAGAGGACAGGCAGACTTCAAACACCGCGTATTTTGAAACATTCCCACTGGGGAAAAGAAATTTAAATCTCTTCCTTCACATTCCCACTAGAGTTCGTTATTCTGAGCCCCCTACATCCATTACAATGGAGAGCTTCTAAGCAAGACTGGCACAGTTGTGTCAAATATTTTATTAACCTTGACTATTAACCATATCCCTAGACGTTTAAAGCCCTGAAGGGACCCACGCGAGCCAAGTCCTTTAACATAACTTTGTCTCCTCGACTCTGAAAATCAAGAGTGCCCCTCGGGGAGTGCTGCAAAGGCGGCGTGCCCAGCTCCGTGGCGAAAGCTGGGTTATTCTGGGGAATAAGAAAGACGGCGTGAGCAAGCGCGCGCTCTGCTTGAGCAAAGCCCTCCAGCTAAGCCAGAAAAACTTCTGACGGACTGCGGAGTACGGCGTGTGCATCCCTTGTGTTCCAGAAAATAAAAATCAATATCATGGAAAACTAGAATAGGGCTTTGGGGGAACTGCCAACTCGTCGGCATCTCTCCCCCCATATATAAGAAGTGTTTCTACAGGAAAGCAAATTAAAAAACGAAGGCATCAGAAGCAGCTGGTTTCTGTTTTAAAAGAAAAGGGGGGGAAAAAAAGCAGGCAATGTGAAATCCAGCTACCTTTGTTCTTCCTGAGGCTACTGCAAAGAAAACCAGAGGAGAGATGTAAGATGCTTCGGCTCAAACCTCTTTATGGAATAAACCATAGCCCAT